CTCCAGCATAGCCACATTTTTAAATCCTCCCAAAACAGTGCCACCAACTGGGACAAAATGTCCAAATACTTGGAGCCTATGGGGGATATTTTCATCATTCCACCCCCTGGCCCCCATAGGCTCATGACCATATAAAATGCAAAATGCATTTAGTTCACTCTTAAAAGTCCCCATAGTCATTATGAGTCTCAGTACTACTCAGAAGTCCATAGTCCAAAGTCTTTTGAGACTCAGGGAAATTGCTTAATTGTAAGCACCTATAAAATCAAAAGACAAATTACATACACCCAACATACAGTGGAAGTGGATATACATTACCATTCCAAAAGGGAGGAATAGAAGCGGAGTGAGGAAATACCAGACCAAAACCACCGAAAACAAGCAGGACAAACACCAAATCCAGTAGCTCCATGTCTGACTTCTGGGTCTTTGCTTCCAAATGGCTTAGATGGCTTAGCCTCTCCAGCTCTGCTGTGTGCAGCGTACATCTCTCTCTTGGGCAACATACATCTCTTTGGCAGATGCCTCACACCTATGGCATCATGAACGTCTTCTTGGGGTCTCCATTGCCAACCAGGCTTCACCTTCATAGCTTCACAAAATGGCCTATCAGGCCCTTCTTTATGCAGGGGAATCCCTGCTGCACACTGCTAGGCCTTGGCAAAGAACTGATGAGCTCTTCAGTCTTGCATCTTTCATGCCTCTAAAGCCAGCACCAGGTGAATGGCACTGCCAAGTTTGGCTGCAAGTTTGGGATGGACAACAGCCTGCTTTATCCATTTTAGAAACTTCTCTTCAGTGGCCCCTGCAGCATTTTCCTTTCACAGGTTGGAGGTGTAACAGGGTTTCTGCCAGAGAAATTAGCCTCAGGCAGGTTTTTCAGGCTGTGGGCAGACTCCAGCCAGACTCTGCCAAAAATATCCCAATTGCTGCTTAAGCCCTTATTTCCCTTTGGAACTACATTGTTCTCAGCATTGCTTTTTTTTTTTTTTGTTTTCTTCTTTTTGAGAGGGTTTCCCTGTAGGCCCAGCTGTCCTGGAACTCACTATGTAGACCAGGATGGCCTTGAACTCACAGAGATCCGCCTGCCTCTGCCTCCCAAGTGCTGGGATTAAAGGCGTGTACCACCACGCCTGGCTTCAGCACTACTTTTTCGAAGGCACCTACTAGAATGGCCTTTTAAGCTCTGTTTACAGCAATCAACCACTTTTCTAGCCTAAGTTTCCAAAAGTCTTCTACATTCTTCTAAAACCCCACATGGTCAGGTACTTCACAGCCAACAGCCCACTCCTCTCTGGTACCAATTATTGTATTAGTTACTTTTCTGTTGCTGTGATAGAAACACTGACCAAAGCAATTTATAGAAGGAAGAGTTTATTTGAGCTTGGGGTTCCAGGGAAATTAGAGTCCATCATGACAGGGAGGCATGGTGGCTGGAGCAGGAGTGGAAGCTAAGCTGTACATCTTCAAGCAGGCACAGGAAACAAGAGGCAGTATACAGATCCTGCAAGGCTTAAGAACTCTTTAAGCCCATCCCCAGTGATGTACTTCCTCCAGCATAGCCACACCTTCTAAGAACTCCTAAAACAGCGCCACCAACTGGGAGAGCTTATGGG